TGTTTTCTATTGAAACTGTGCTACTTTACTTACCTCTAGTGCTTTAGTCATTTCTAATATTGGAAGCTTTCATTAAAACAAAACTATCGTGCGAAGAAATGCAAAGTAACATAATATTCAAATGGCATCTAATCTCATTTGCTTGTAACCGGACTTACAAGAAACTTGTCAATGCACGTACAACAGCGGAACGAGTTTTTGCTCCACATATGGCAATGACCGCGGGGACGATAATGTTGTAATTAAATATGCAGTCTAATCTGAAGGACTGAACATCTATATTTGCGAGTAAAACCGGATTGTGACGGGTTAGGGGTGTCGAATATTCCCACGTAGCACTTCCCTTTTTATCCATAGTGCCGTGGAGGAATTGAATTATGTTATTGAAAGTTGAATGGGTTAAATCTTGTAGGGTATTTGAGACAGGAAGCAAATGGAGCGCAACTAGCAATTATTGATTTTTATGTGATCGTAGACCATGTTAACGCTAAACAGAAGCGTTTAAAACAAACCGTCTAACTATAAATTCGACGTCAGCATGAAATAGTATACAAGTCATTAAAATAATTTGCAAAGTTTTAAAATCAAAACAAACATTGTTTCGTCCACGCAATTACTGAATGAATAAAGCAGCGGGCAGTTGAAATTGTAACTTGTATAGTTTTTACCGCCTGAATGTATCTTTGCAGCTTAATTGGTGACGCTTTTTATATTCTTTGCACAGTTTTTGCTTCCAGGCGTAATTAATCTCAGCTTTTGTCAGTCAGCGCGTCCGGCTTAATCTTTTTCGTTTCGCTATCTCATTTGCCACTTATATTTTCTTTTTTTTTAACTGTTGATATTATCTTTCTGTAGTTATGTCAAACTGTTTGAATATGGAACCAGTGACTGATATTTATTACTTTTACAGTATTTTAAAATAACAACGATTCTTATTCTTTTACTTTGTGTACACATACAAAACATATCAATCCACGAAAAAAAATAACAATTTGCCACAATTCGGAGCCTTGATCATTGTGCACAACGTGTCAAAATAGCGCCCTTCATTCACCGTGATCAAAGGAATAAGAATGCCTATGTAATTGGATGGGCCCTCATTCGACCGTACGTACTATGGCCCGACATTATGTGTCTATGGGCCGAAGGGATTTTCTCAGGTACCTTGGTACCTTATTGAAGTAAGTACTGGCTGGCTTTTCTACCTCGTATTGATCGTTTTGTATTCCGAATTCGAATTGGTCTTTTACTTTTTTATTCATTGTCGAGTTTCCTGTCTCGTAATGATGCTTTTTAGCTATAAAGAATTCTTTTTAGTATTTTTTTACAATGTCATCGGTTTTTGCAAGGCTTTTGCTCGTTTGTGGTCTATTTTTATCATTATTTCTTTTTTAATCAGGTTCATCAAAAGTTTTCTTACATTTAAAGCTCTAAAATAAAGCCATACTCGGTTGTAATAGTTGTTTGGAAGTCATTACATCTACCTCTACAATATTGATGTGCACACAAATAAAAGTCTGAATGTTGACCCCACTGTGTCGATGGGAAAGCTAGGTTAAAGATACTTAATATCACATTAATCCCTAATGCGCCTAGAAGACGACATTAAGTATAATGGTATACCTTTATGTGTAATGTAAGTAAAGTATACACAAATAACAAACTAGACTGCATGGTGATCGTCTTTGTACGAATCCTGATTCTTAACTTCAGCTACTTGATTCTACTCACTTTCAAGTCGATCCAAATCTCATTGGCTTTATTGGAATTCATTGATAGTTTAGAAACTGTTGTTAAATACTTCATAATTACCATACACACTTTTCCTTAATGTAACGTAAAATATTGCGTCGGGTACCAAATTACTTGGCTTGATGCAAATTTTCTTTTTGTTACGATGCTGTTGTTTATTACTTGTATCTAAATGCTAGTTTTACGTGTGTATGTGTGTTGGTAGGTACCTATCTTAGCAAGTTTATACCTAACTTATTTAAATAGGCTTCGAACAAATCATACGATTTGTGGTCATAGTCTGTCTTGCTGCTTGCTCTATAGTAGGTTCAATATTTTCTGTCTCATTCACTTCATTACTTTATTATAAAGCACATTACAAGGAAAACGGTGACCCCAATAATGCTATACCCACCGTCAATTGAATCGGTACAAAAATAGCATAAAGTTGAGCGCAGTAGCAGATGCTCGTTTAATTCAAGGATGGTGTAAACAATGATTAAGTCACCGTTACGATGACTGTGACTCACTAAATGTATGTTTGTATGACTGGTGCCATGAAGGCTGAGTGTGTTACCGTAAAATCCTTTTACATGGCTAGCTAGTTTGCTGGCTTCTACGTCATCTTTGCTTGTAAATGCAACGTTGTACCTATTGGATTGACAATGACTTTGAAAATAAGGGGAACTTTTATAAATGACGTTGATTATAACTGTCCTTTGTAATTATTACTTAGGAGCTTTCAATTCAGTATTAAAATCATATTAGAGATGCAACGAATAGTTGTTTGGCCGGATACCCGATATTCAGACTGACCACCAGCCGAATATTCGGTGTCCGCCCGCGGAATATTCGGCCGGCAGTATAATAGGTATCATTTTGAGTTTCGTATGTGTATGTCGCGTACCGCCACGCACGCTGGTCGCCGTGCAGGTTTTGACTTGTTGTTATAAAAAGTTAAAATTGTTTAAAATAATTAAAAGATTCAATTACAACTGTGTCTTTATTTAGATTTCATTTATAAAATCTACCAAGTTTACCATCCGATAGTAAATAACGGCCAGATAAGCCGGATGCCGGATAGCAACCGAATATTCGGTGCATCTCTGAATTATATTGGTTTAGCACGTTCTATGGTCGCAGTCATTATCTCTACGTTACCACCTTTGCTTTTATGATTGCCATCGTCCTAATTTCTAAGTTTACATAGGTAATCTACCTCCTCATAATTTCTTGTGTCATTAATTCTTGATTGATTTCATACAACCTTTAAATTCATGACTTGTCAAATTCTTCTCATGTCGTCACTAACTAAAAGTTTGGATAACAAATCATATTTTATCGTCTCCGTTGCCATTTGTTTGAAAGCTTCATACGTCTAATCTTCGAAAGGCCATTCTGATGATTCATACAAAATTATCTTGCATTTGTCCGTTTGTATGTGTGTTTATACATGTTTGTTGTGTCCAGTCATCTGGGACGGCTTTGTAGTTTGTCTTTCATTGGTGCTTCAAGATTTTTTGTCAATGTTTAAGTGGTTTTATTGGACAAGAATTAAGAGCCGTTTTTAGTCTTGTATTCTATGTTTTGATTTTGACGGAGGAAAAATATGAATGTTTATTTCTATTTCAGTAACAATTTTTATTAAATCATGACGATTAATTTTAGCTTTAATTTTGTCGCGACGTGTAAATAAAATATTAATCTCGAGATGTTTCCTTTCTTTCTGGTCTGAAGATAACTTTTCGTGGTACGATACTTCAGATGAATGATTTATCATCGCATTATAACTTTTATTTCTTTGGTATAACACGTATAATCCCGTGAAACATGAGCATAGGTTGCAAAAGTAAGGATTAAAAGATCCAATTGCGAACATAAATCAATCTGAAGTTTGCTAATGTATTTAAATGTTTCTGATGAAATGGTATGGTGTGGGCTTCTGCAGTATTTTTCTTCGTATTTTTAGATGCGAATCATTCGATTTGTTTTTGGGTCAATCAGTTTTAGTATTGGCAGTTTTCAGACGTGATTATAAATAGTATTTTTTTGCTGTAGAATTGTACAATATAAAGGTAATTATAGAATAATATGAATTATGATTCAAATGCACCTGGAGCTTGATTTATTGCGTTTAGTGCGAGGTTATCCTTTAACCAAACATGTACATGTTTGACGCACACAATGTTTGTGTGTATGACACAATATATACGTGTGTGTCGTGTGTAGGTGAACACAAAACACAATTTATATCTATTCCTGTCAGAGTATACCTGCCACGTTCCACGTTACAGCTCGTATTTAATATCGATTCCCTTATTTACTCGATTAAATCGAAAATCGGTCAAGTGTGAATCCGTATCTGTATTGAGAGTATGAGTGGCACGTGTTTGCCAATTGAAATATGAGCTTCCAGTCTCATTTAACAAATAAACAAGAATAAGGTAAAACAGGCAGTAACGTAGATAAAAATACAATACATGGATATCTAGGTACGCGTATTGTTTACACTGTTATGTACTATATTAACTTACAAGATTAAATTCTCTATGAATATTCAGCAAACACTCGCTTCTATGGTCCGGAAATTGTAAATTTTCCCCGGAAGCATAAAGCGCTTTCTATTTCTTGTATGTATATACAGGGCTAACACGATAAAGCGATTAAACTGCTCTAGGCGTTTGTCAGAAACTGCGTCGCATGTGGCATCGACCGCAGGGTGCATTTTCTTTTTTTTATTCCGTGACCACGATACGGCATCCGGACGCAACTGGCGACGAGGCGCGAGATAAAAGGATTTTAAATATAGAACGGGGAAAATGTAACGGCTATTTTGTCACTCATGTGGCTTGTTAGTTAAAAAGCTTGGATTACCGCAATATGCTGTTTGAAGTGGTGCAAATGAAAGTATACTTTGTAATATTGGATCAGGTATCATTTTACCGTGCATTTTAATTAGTGGCAACATGAAAGTCATTTGTGAATCATGTCTGTTGATATTTTCGTTTGAGTTGTTTACGTTTTAACTGAACGTTTAAATGGAGATTGTCTGTGTGATTAAACGTTGAACGAATGCATAGCAATAATTAACTTTAAAAAAACTACGTTTGTTGTTGTTTTTCTTTGATTAGAATGAAACATTTGCACTGCGAACGTAATGGTACAACAGTACAACTCTAGTATACCTACAGACTGTTTTCTTTTTGGTACATTTATTTTTTTTATTTGTTTTTCTTTTTGTTAATTTTATTTTTTGTTTTTCTTTGCAGGAGCTGGATGTGTAGCTGTTTGTTTTTTATTTGGCACAAGTTTCTTTAAGTTTTCTTCATGGTATCATGTAAGTTTTATTTTTATTTTTTGTTTATTTTTTTCTTATTTTATGTTACTTCTTTTTTTGTTTTTTTTTTTTATTTTACTGATGTGTTACAAAGAAAATTTGATTTTCTTTTTGGTATAACCTTGTGTATAGTTGCAATTACTGTAAGTAAATGTGAAAGTTGGGAATGTAACTGTCACTCTTTCAATATGGTATACCAGTGAAATATGAAGAAGACATTTTGATTATGACTTAAACTGTCAAACACCAAGCGGTCACCGGTGACCGCAACCTATTGTTCTATAATTGTGTCTATAATGACGGTACTCGACGAGTTAATATTTACATAAAAAAAATATTTTTAGTTCCTGTAAATTTAACGAACAGCAATGACTTTTTATCCATCAAAATACAATTTAAATACCAAAAACACAAAAAAAAACTAGTTCAAAAACTGTATTCTGTATTCTACAAATCCGCACTCCGTCACCCGGAATTTTTCCATTTCCGCAAAGGGACATACATGGTCCCATGCAGGACAGTGCGGACAATTCAATTTGAAGTTATTTTCCGGATGTTTCACACAAGTCCACCCTGACGAGAGATCCCGTAAAAATAATCCCGGGAAAGTCCACTATCCCGGCTTTTCGGATCCATCAGGATTAGGATTTCTGCGCTTATGTCTAGATGTAAATGTCATGCAGGATTTTGTGGATCTAACAGTATCGACTGGGGATTAAATATTGTAATTTGATTAGTGACTAAAATCTGCGCTATAAAATGTATTAAGAAAAGGGAAAACTCATTTCATTCAACTGAATATTTTACACAGAGCTTTGAGGTTTAGATCTAGTAAGTCCATATTTCACTTACAATTAAATTTTATTAGTAGGGGTAGTATTCTATCATCATTTTCTAACAAGTCCAAGAGATCAATAGCTGGACGTAAGAACCTCATCAGTGGGGTTATAACATCCAATCCTTATCATATCTTATCCACTCCCATACAACCATTCCCTTTAGACCAAATAGACCATACTACTCACATTGTTAAAAACTAAGGCAAGGCTCAATAAGAGGCTACTCGCAAACAACATACACCCTCGAAAACCATAAAAACAAAAGACATTCAAAACGTATGACATGACAAACGCAATACGGAAGTATATAGTAATTTCTGCACGTTTTATATTGACCATAAAACCTCCCCAATGGTTGGGTCTTGGCGGCCATACTGCCATAGTCAGGGCAACAGGCTTCCGCCCCGGAAGGTCCAAGGTCACTGCAATACTGACGTAGTTCCGTAGAAGGGCATTAAGTTATTCGCAATCTTTTATGATTTATTGGCGCTTTAATATATATTGTTTGTCAGTAATTGCTATGTTATGGCTATCAAAGATTGATCATCTTTTTCCTTATTTGATGCCAGTATTCGATTACTTTTAATTAATTACTTGATAAAATCTACAAGGCGTGCTTTAATTCGAATATTTTTATCTTGAATTTTAACTGGCAATAGGCTCACCATCTATTACATGGGACTCATAACATAAATAGTGAAAAGTGGGTGTTACATTATACAGTAGCATTAAGTGCTATATCGTACACCTCTGCCTACCCCTTTCGGGATAAAAGGAGTGACGTTATGTTATATTATGAATTTTAACTATCGGGTTCTGTGAAAATCCATCAATTTAATGTAATTTTACTACTGCGAAGGATTTGCTATTAAAGAAGTTTGTCTATCAGTCTAAAATGTAAAGGTATCAAAATATCAGATTTTCAAAGGATTTGCCTTCTAGAAAGTTGTACAAGTAATTAAACTGTAATTGGGGACCTTAGTTTGCTTACGTAGTTCTATCTTCATTAAGGGAAGTACTCTTAATCCTTTTACATTGGATTTGGAAGTTGTAAACGTGTTTTTGTTCAGTATACGTTACCTTATTAAGGGGTATTTCTCAAATAGATTTCACACATTGTTAAAGAAGTTCTTATGATGAATTGGAACGATGGATTGACTTCAATAGCTGAACTCATATGAAAGCAATTTCTGTAATATGGAAATATTCGACAAGGAAGAACATGTAAGGAGAACTCTTATTAAAGATCCTGACGCATTCATATAGTATATGCATCTTACTCATGATAAGATCGACCATTAGATCAGCTATTACCTTAATAAACAGCCTCGAAACTGCAGCCCTGTGTTACAAAATACTGCATTTAATAAATTCTTAGGTTCATAAACAATAAGTAATATTAATCCTTGCAGCTGAAGGTTTAAAGTAGTAATTAGAGCGATGCATCCTTGACACGCCCGCGGTGACCGTATGAGGTTTGCCAAGGAAATATATGGCTAACATTGATATGGTAAATAAATTGTTTAGTAACACGAGTATACTCAATATGCACGGGTGCAATATGCGTGTATTTATTCATATAAACCTTACTTAAGAATCACTCTATCTTTTAAAAAAAACCGCATCAAAATCCGTTGCGTAGTTTTAAAGATCTAAACATACATAAAGGTAGACAGACGGCGGATAGCGACTTTGTTTTATACTATGTAGTGATAAAAATCTGTTGTAATAATGTGTGTACTTAAGTAATGTTAATTTCTCACGGAAATATTTAACTCGATTAGTTTCTAGCTATATCAGAGCCTATAGACATCATTTTTTGGCTAAAATCGAGTTGAACTCCGTTTAGTGATTATATTTGTTAATGACGTTATGATCTTGCCATGTCCACATACTGACTGGTTGTATCAGGACTTAAACAGATAATATAATATTTTAAGCTTTAGTTTTTTACGTTTTTTTTTATGGCATAACCCGGTAAACGAGCAGACGGATCACCTGATGGTATCACCTCATGGACTCTTGGAACACCAGAGGCGTTACAAGTGCGTTACCGGCCTTTTGGGATTAGGAGTTTGAGGATCGTTGGGGATTCAGGAATTGGGGAGATTGGGGAAGGGGAGGGTAATTGGGCCACCGGTAACCTCACTCACACGAAAACACAACGCAAGCATTGCTTCACGTCGGTTTTCTGTGAGGCCGTGGTATCACTCCGGTCGAGCTGGCCCATTCGTGCCGAAGCATGGCTCTCCTACGCTTAAAGAAGCCACCCAAATAATTTTCTACAAAGTTAGGATGAAAATAAACATCTTATGAAAGAGGTCGTGCAGAAACAACCCTTACGAGTTGGAAAAAAGAAATCAATTTGCTAAAACAAATCTGAAGTTTGTCATGATACTTGTAACGTGACTAAAGTTGTTTTCGGTTGGTTGAGTATTGTATTGTTTTAATATCGTACATACTGACACGTGACTCGTGAAAGCTTTTGTGTTGGTAAATTCTGAATTTAGCCGACAGAAAGAGATGAAATCATAAAGACCATAATTCTGAACACTTGTTCTCGATTTTAGTTATTTTGTAATTGCCTGATTGGCAAGGGGTTCTGGGTATAGGGATTTTCGTTTTTAGAACAAGTTCATTTTGATAGTGATTCGTGAGGTGCTTGTGACTGGTTAAAACTGGATGCTTCATCAAATATGTGCATCTTTTCCAGCCTCTTGACGCGTACGAAAGTAAAGTGCATTTTAAACCAGAAATAGACATATTGTCCGGACTACTAGTTGTAGCAACGAAGTTGGTCAATCTAAGAAATATAATCGAGCTTGCATAACACGTCAAAACTGGGGTGTAATTGTGGGACCTTCATGCTTCGGCACGAATGAGCCGGCTCGACCGGAGTGAAACCACTGCCTCACAGAAAACCGACGTGAAACAACGCGTTGTGTTTTTGCGTGTGAGTGAGGTTACAGGAGGCCCAATTACCTCTCCGCCTTTCCCATTCCCTGAATCCGTTATATAATTCCCTGAATACCACGTTATACGCCATGGGGGTCACTGGTGACCGACGTTAGCGGAGGATTTACCTTCAACAGTTTTTTATTGGCAGTCAAAGGCTTAACAATTCCTTAAATTCCTAATCCCAAAAGGCCGTAACACACTTGTAACGCCTCGGGTGTTCCAGGTGTCCATGGGCTACGCCGATTGCTTACCATCAGGTCATCCGATTGCTCGTTTTCCGTCTTATCCCATAAAAAACACTATAGAGGTACATACCTAACTATTGCAACTTACATGACATGTCCTGTAAGGTTACATCATAGAGATATTAGTTTATTCCAAGGTTATATGTAGGGGATTACCTTGAATATCGGATTATGGAATACTTATAGGATATTAAGAGCCATAGGTCACGAACATATTAGAAAATGGTTGACTGAAAAGCTACTTTCGTTGTTACGACAGAATTTTGTATCATGGATTATGTCAACTAATTCCACTTTTAATAAAGCATTGCAACTTAATGTCACGCGTAAGATAATACCACGTCCTTAGTCACAATAGGGTAGTTTCCTAAATTTTATTTTAATGTCCGTTTGGTACATTTATTTAAACTTTAGACACGTATTTTTTCTTTTCTCACAAAACTAAATACTTTCGACGATATATTAATGTGAAATATCATGTAACGTCACAGCGTGCCACATTTTGTAACACGTTATGACGTAACGACCTCCCACTCCTTAACTTAGCGCCATTTTATCTAAGTATTGCAACTTATAATGACAATATAAAAAAATACGTTTCTAACATTTTTTCATTATCTAACTGATGGACTAATTAGATTTTTAATATTGCGTCCCTCCAAACTACCCAATTCCAGACCGGAGTCTGGAATGTCTGTTAATCTTTCACTACCTCTACGCACTCATGACTCTGCTAAATAATTGTACAACATATCAGGAAATATGAAATTGATCTTCAACATCTTACATACTAAACTCGTTGAGTACCGTCATTATAGAAACAATTATAGAACAATAGGTTGCGGTCACCGGTGACCGCTTGGTGTTCGACAGTTTAATGCCATTAATTAACAAACTTAGACAATCTAAAATCCCGCTCAGCACGGAAACCAATTATTTGCAAATGAAACCCCAGAAT